CGGCACCACCCACTTTTGGGGTGCTGCCCCCCCAAACCTCACCTACCAGGGATTAGAGAAGCCGAGCAGAACTGGGCGAGGAGGACGAGGAGGAGAGCCTTCATCCTGCGGTGCTGAGCGGGCGCTGGACAGGAGAGAGCTGCCGGGGGGGGCGGCAGCACCCGCTCTGTGCCTCAGTTTCCCCACTGGGACCTTTGCCCCACTGCTCAGTCAAGCAAAGTGTCCCCTCCCCGCGTGGTCCACGATGTGACCCCCTGGGGACGTGCCAGCTCCCCACCCCGCCACCAGCCCCACGGGGCGTCACCTTGCTGGCACCAACCCGGTGCTGGGGGACGGTGGCACGGCCCCCCGCGTGCACATGTCACAGTGGGGTCCCTGTCATGTGGCTGGGTCCCCATCGCGTGTCCCTGTCCCCATTGCATGGCCGTGTCCCCATCACAGCTAGGTCCCAATTGCACGTCGGGGTCCCCATCACATGGCCATGTCCCCATCGCCTGTCCCTGTACCCATCACGTGGCCGTGTCCCCATCGCATGTCCCTGTTGCACACCCATGTCCCATCCCACATCTGTGCCCCCACCCCACATCTGTGTCCCCATCCCGTGCCCCCATCCCCGCTGCATGCCCATGCCCCCCTCGTGTGTCCCCATTCCATGCCCATGTCCCCATTGCACATACGATTCCCCATCGCGCACCCGTGTCCCTCTTCCACATCTGTCCCCATTGCACACCCATGTCCCCACCACAGGCCCATGTCCCTGTCGCACACCTGTGTCCCCACTGCACGCCCATGTTCCCATCTCACACCCATGTCCCCATCACATGCCTGTGTCCCTGTTGCACGCTTGTGTCCTCACCACATGCCCACGTCCCCATCGCACACCCATGCCCCTGTTGCACACCTGTGTCCCCATCACCTGCCTGCGTCCCTGTTGCACGCCTGTCTCCCAACCACATGCCCATGTCCCCAATCACTCACCCATGTCCCTGTTGCACACCCATGTCCCCACCACATGTCTGTGTCCCCATCATGCACCCATGTCCCTGTTCCACCCGTGTCCCCATCGCATGCCCATGTCCTCATTGCACACCCATGTCCCTGTGGCATATTTGAGTCCCCATTGCACCACTGCACACCCGTGCCCTGTTGCACACTTGTGTCCCCGTCACTCCCCGTGTCCCCGTTGCACCCCCGTGTCCCCGTTGCACCATTGCACCCCCATGCCCTGTTGCACATTTGTGTCCCCGTCACTCCCCCTGTGTCCCCGTTGCACCCCCGTGTCCCCATCAC